TTAATAATTATCACTTCAACTTTAAAAACAGAAAGTTACTTTAAACGCAAGTAATTAGACCTGCACTACTGTACGGATGTGTTACATATAGCAAAGCCTCAAATACTAACTTAAAGCAATTACAGATAGCTCAAAACCTGGCTTTAAGAAAACTGTTTAAGATTCCATGGTATATTAGATCAACAGACATACATAGAGATCTTAGGATTGACTCAGTCAAAAAATATATCAGAGACAGAGCTCTAAAATTATTCACTAAAGTTAATACGCTAATTAACCCCGCCCTAACAATCCTCAAGTCCACTTCTGGACTCACAGGAAGATATACTAATTTAAGGTCCGTCATCAACTAAAAGAAAAAAAAAAATGATATGTTTTTTTTTTTTTTTTAGCCTAGTTAAAGCCTAGTGTGGGGTAGAGATAAGCCCCCCAGCCAATATAGAGTAAAAGTGCGTAATAGCACTAACTCAAGAAGAAGAAGAATCAAGAAGAAACTCGTTGCATGAGAATTTTGTGTCAGGAACAAACTATCCATATAAACTTCAATTATAAAATGTCCGAAGGAACATCGTTCTCAATGGGTAATTTTCTTGCTCTATTAAGCAATATATTCGCCGAGAGAATAACCAACATGGATGGAGTGTCTGTTACACTTTTAGCTAACATTTTAAAGTTAATTCACATATCAAAAGATTTGGACTTTGAGTTACTATTATAGAAATAAGACAAATTGTATGATTGTAAGCAAAAGAAGTTTTTAAGATAATACAAATTTGTTGTTTGCAAAACTATCAACTAAAAATGCAAAATTTTAAATATCTGGAGTGTCATACCATGAAAGCTGTGGTTGTCCTCATGAGAAAGGTTAAATAGAAATAGCTCGGAAGTACCAAAAGTTATGGTTCTATACCATGTTTTTAAAAACAGCATATTTTAATAATCAGAAACCGTTTGAGTCTTGGGTCTTTCGAAACATTCGAAAAGTACTAATTATTAAACAATTTTTGAAATTATTAAAAAATTTGAATTAACTGAAACTGAAACAGTTATTAAATCATCAGTAGCTTTATGTTATGTAAAGGGTATTTAAGTTTCGGAAGGCTTCAAAGCAAATTTCTTTACATATTTTAATTTCCAATACAGCAATTATTACATGTTATTGTTAAAAATATTACGAATTATATAGAAAGATGTAAATTGAAGAACGATTTGGTAAACTATACCATTATACTGGAAAGATGACAGTTATATAAGCGCAAGTTCTCTTAACCTAATCTAATCTATCTAACTATTCAATAGCAAAACCGTTACTAATTAGAAAAAAACAACTACTTAGTAATCGTGTCTTATCGACTTTAAAATGATTATATTCACTCCCAGTATTAGTAGTTCTGATACCATTTACGGTTTGGTGACTATATTACTGTCGTTGAGATTGCCTAAACTCAACCATTATGCTGGAAAGATGATAAGAAATAAGTTCATAAAAAATTACTCATATATCAATGATGATACTTAACAGAATTGTCCTATATTCTATAATTCTGGATTCGATTAGAACTGCTGGAATAACTAATATAAACTTTGTATTCGAAGTGTATTTAGTATATCGAACGAATAATTGATGTGACCTTGAATATCTTTGCGAATCAAGTAATCTAGTACTGCTAAATATGCTCCATATGTAAAAGTCATGGAATGATATAAAAAGTACTTTAATTTTACATGGCTGACACTTCACATGGCTGAAGAAGTTTTGTGACATAATAAAGTTCAGGAAGCAATAAAAATGGTAGCAGGAAAGCCGAATGCAACAAATGCTTTTAGTAAACTATTCTAACAGCTTGAGTAGATTAATGCCGCTCAGACAAGTACATCTATCCGTTGAGCCTGACAAACCAGAGGCGGAAGCAGACTATTTTGCTGGATGCGCAGCAACAAAGTCGGCGCTGCAGTGACACAGCAGCGCTGACTAACGCCTCTAATGTTAAGTGTTGGAGGCGTCAAGTGTTGCGCGTTGCATCATGCACGTACGCTTCCAGTGTTGGCTGTCTGCTGACTGCTATTTGCAGTGTTGCGAAAAATGAAAATTATTTGTAAATGGCTTTAGTGATATTTTATTCGTACCCAGCTTAAGTTCGAGCGTTTTTAAAACTCACTGGATTTGTTTTCCTTCTACACGACGGGAATCTGGCAACGTGGAAAATTCACTTTTCATTTGTTTTTGTTGTGTTCTTGTTTTGCAGTTCTGCTTAAGCGCGCATTGACAGCGTCGCCTTGCCAAAATTTGTTGATGACACAGAAATATTCGCACTGCAAGCAACACCAACTTTTCATTTCAGTTTCCATTTGAATTTTCAGTGTTTTCTTAAACAGTTTTTTGTTTTTTGTTTTTTGTTTCTTGTTTTTTGTTTTTGGTTTTGGTTTTTATTGAGAGTGTACTTATATTGTATTCGTGTGTATGTGTATAGGGGTTTTGGCTGTTTTGATTTTTAGTAACATCCGTTCGGCAGCCGGAAGTGCGCATTAAAATCGTCATTAGTGCCTACAAGCGATGCTTTGAGTGCTTGAAACAACAACAATGCAATGCGTAATTTTCTCGCTTTCAAAGACAACAGAGTTGTTTTATTCTTATTTTTTTTTTGATTTTTAAATTATTTTTACTTTTTGTTGTCTTAATGGTTTTATAAGCACTTCTTCATTTCTCCTACTTTTCCAGTTTCTTCTAGTGGCGTTTTCTTAACGCCACTACCAATGTAATGCTAACATTTTGTTATTGTTGTTGTTGTTATTGTTGTTGTTGTTGTCCCTTTCTTGCAATGTAAAAATGCAGCTTTTAAATTATTAGCAAATTTTTGGAGCTCCTGCTGCCAAGAATTTTTAAATGGGTTACTTAAGTGTGATTTTGGGTTTTAATGTTTAATGCTTTTTTTGCTACAGCTACCGCTACCTCAGCTTCAGTCTCAATCTGTGCCTCTGCCACTGTCGCTGCCACGACCATTTCCATTTCTACCATTGCTACCATTCCTACCACTACTATTATCGCTGTCACATCTTCGCATTTTCATTGTATTTCTTTGTTTTGATTTTTTTTGTTTGTTTTTTGTTTTTTTTTTGTGTATTGTGTTTTGTGTTTTGTGCTTGTTCTTAGTATCTTACTGGAGCGAGTCTTCTTTTCTTATTGTTGTTGGTAATTTAATGGCTTAAATGTGCCTTTTGTGTAATTGCTGTTAAGAACTTTTGTCAATGGTTGTGTTAATGTTAAAAACGTGTTTGCGGGGAGTGTGAGTAGGAAATTGTTATATAGCACATATTTTAAGGCCTTTTAGATAGTGCAAATCATTTTGAACACACACATCTACCCATCTACCCATCTACACACATACAGACATACACAGAAATAGGCACAGATACTGTACACATACATTTTTCAATAGAGAGTGTTATGTGAAGGTGTGAGTTGAGAAGTCAGTGAGTTAATAGATTTTAAGTGCACAACTTGTTGCCACAACTGAGGAATGCTCTATTCAGCCAAGCAGTTTAAAAATAAATAAAGAACTGAAGAGTACAGAATTTTTCATTGAGACAGTTAAGATCGCCATCTTTCAAAATCAGGTTAATAAAAACGAAATACTGCACATTATTTGCTCACTATATGTGAAGATAGTTGTGACGTAGAAAAGGTGCTCTCTTAGATATGGAATGTTATAATAACTATATATATTCTTCAACACCTAGAGTGTTTATATCATAAAAAAAAAAAATTAAGTTACGATATATAGATATCAAAGTATCTGTTTGTGGTTATAACAGAATTGTAAATGCACTAAAATGATAGCTAATTAATTTAATTGAAAGTGGTATAATTAATTTAAAGTGATATACACAAAATACAATCCAAGCACAAAATTATATTCAATTGTTCAAACGTTGACAGGATAAAAGCTGTAGTATTATCAAACTTTATCTATGCTATTAATTAGTTTTGAGGAAATAATAACTATTCCGTCAATTTAAAATAAGATTAAACCTGGTTGAATTAGAGAAGTCGCAAGCATCGCAAAAGTTACAAGAATAGCAAATGTAACAACAGAGTCCACAGTTTGTCAAAATGATTATCTTCCATTAAGAGTCAACAAAATGGTATTCCTAACAGACGTATCAATATAATGCAACAATAAATGTCCTGATTGGAATTTCAAGGAATACCACCGCTACCAATTGAAGCTATACGTATGGTTATAGTTTTCTCCTTAATACTAACATTATAGTACTAAGCATAGTATTAACATTAAAGGTCAACCTATATTAGCCACAATAGCCACAGCTATAGGCTCTTACACCTGTGGAACTAGATTTACAGCTCTGATTGG